TGAGAAAAGATAACCAACAGATGTTATATAGTTTGAATATACGTCTCTGTACCAATCTCATGTCAAACTGTAATACTCAATGTTGGAGGAAGGGCCTGGTGGGAGGTAATTTATCACAGGAGTGGGTTTCTCATGAATCGTTTAGCACCATACCGCTTGTACTGTCCTCCTGACAGTGAGTGAGTTCTCATGAGATCTGGTTGTTTAAAAGTGTGTAGCACTTCCCCACTCTCTCCTGTTCCTGCTCCTGCCACGTAGGGCGCCTGTTCCCCCTTTGCCTTTGCTATGACTGGAAGCTTCCTGAGGCCTCCCCAGAAGCAGATGCTGCCATGCTTCCTGTACAGCCTGCAGAACCATGAGCATATTAAACCTCTTTTCTTTACAAGTTCCCTAGTCTCAGGTATTTCTTTATAGCAATGTAAGAATGGACTAATACAAGACACAAACACCATGTTGACATAATTGTTGTGATTATGTGACATGGATCTTAAAGTAGCCATCACAAAAATAATTCATTAAGCAATTTTTTTTTTTTTTTTTTTTTTACTTTTAAGTTCAGGGGTATATGTGCAGGTCTGTTATATAGGTAAACTTGTGTCACAAGGGTTTCTTGTACAGATTATTTCATCGCTAGGGTATTAAGCCTAGTACTCATTAGTTATTTTTCCTGATCCTCTCCCTCCTCCTACCGTCCACCCTCTGGTAGGTCCCAGTGTCTATTTCTATTGTTACTTCTTTAAGTTCACTGATTCGTTCCTCTGTCCTCTTCATTCTTCTGTTTAGCCTATCTGCTGAGTTTTTTGTTTTTCATTTTTTTATTCTAAAATTTATATTTGATTCTTCTTTATAACTTTTTTCCTTTGGTGAGACTTTATTTTGCCAAGATTTTCTTGTTTATTGTTTTTTTCTAACATACTTATAATTGCTCATTGCATTATTCAAAATAGCAAAGACATGGAATCAACTTAAATGACCATCAATGGCAGACTGGATAAGAAAATGCAGTATATATATGCCATGGAATACTATGCAACCATACAAAAGAATGAGATCATATCCTTTGCAGGAACATAGGTGCAGCTAGAGGCCATTATCCTTAGCAGACTATTGCAGGAACAGAAAACCAAACCAAATACTGCATTTGTTCATTTATAGTGGAAGCTAAATGATGAGAACACATGGACATGTAGAGGGGAACGAATCAGTGAACTTGAAGAAGTAACAATAGAAATCACCCAATCTGAACAACAGAGGGAAAACAGACTGTGAGCAAAAGCAAAGGACAGAGCCTCAGGGGGACCTGTGAGACTGTAAAAAAGAAAAAGACCTAACATTTGTGCCACTGGAGTTCCAAAAGGAGAAGAGCAAGATAGCAGAAGTGATAAAGAATAGAAGAAACAATGGCTGAAAAACTCCCCAAATCTGGCAAAATATGTAAGTGTACACAGTCAAGAAGCTGAGCGAATCCCAAACCAGATAAACCAAAAGAAATCTATTCCAGGATACAGCATAGTCAAAGTAAAACACATAGTAATCTAAAGGTAGGCTGGGCACAGTGGCTCATACCTATAATCCCAGGACTTTGGGAGGCCAAGGCAGGAGGATCATTTCAGGCCAGGAGTTCGAGAACAGACTGGCCAATATGGCAAAACCTTGTCTCTACTAAAAATATAAAAAATACCCTGGCGGGGTGGTGCATGCCTGCAATTCCAGCTACTTAGGAGGCTGAGGCATGATAACCACTTGAACCCAGGAGGCAGAGGTTGTAGTAAGCTGAGATTGTACCCCACTGCACTCCAGCCCCTCAGTGACAGAGCTAGACTCCATCTCAAAAAAAAAAAAAAAAAAAAAGAAAGAAAGAAAGAAAGAAAGAAAGAAAAGAAATCTAAAGGCAAAGGAACAACCTGAAAAGCAGCCACTCAGAAACCATGAAGGACACAAAGAAGTGGTACATTTTTCAAGTGTGGAAAGAAAAGAACTGTCCACTCAGAATTCTGTATCTAGTATAATTATCTTTTATGAATAAAGAGGAAATCAAGACCTTCTGAGATGCAGAAAAATCAAGAGAATGTATCATCAAGAGACTTTCTCCAAAAGAATGCTAAGAGAAAACCCTCTAAACCTGATCACGGAAGGAATCTTGAAACATCAGAAAGGGAAAAAAACAACATGGAAAGGGCAAAAATGTGGGTAAAGACAACAGACTTACACTTTCCTTCTCCTCTTAACTCTTTTCAATTGTGTTAGATGGTTGAAGCAAAAATTATAACAATGTTTGATGTGGTTCTAAATATATGTAGATGAAATATTTAAGATAAAATATATTACAAATGGGAGGGTAAAGGTATTTAAAAGAAAGTAAAAGTATATACACTTTATTCTGTTTAAACGTTGACATTAATACATTATGATAGGTCTGCATGTATAATGTAATACCTAGAGCAGCCACTAAAAAAACTATACAAGGAGATAGACCACAGATTTTTTAAAAACACAATTTAAATAAATCAAAATGGAATTCTAAAAAGTGTTCAAGTAACTCAAAGGAAAAAGAAAACAGAAAACAGGAAACAAACAAAAAACAGCAGATTTAAGCCTAATATATAAATAATTACATTAAAAATAAATGGAAAAAACTCACCAAAGAAAAGACAGAGATTGGCAAAAATATTTTTTTTAAAAAGTGATTCAACTATATTCCATCTACAAAAAACTACAGTCATTCAGATATATCTGAGTAAAAAAAAAAAAAACCCAATCTCAAAAGGTCACGTAATAAGATTCCATTCATATAACATTCTTGAAATGACAAAACTATAAAGACAGATTAGAGGTTGCCAAGGGTTAGAAGAGAGGAGTGGTTATGATTATAAAGCTATAGTATGAAGGGTATCTTTACGGTGACAGAAGAGTTTTGTATCTTGATGGTGGAAGTTACACAAATCTACACACATGAAAAAATGATATATAACTATATACATACATTCTGCCAATGGAAATTTCCTGGTTTTGGTATTATGCTATAGTCACACAAGATGTACCCACTGAGGGAAGAGAGTGAAGGGTACATAGGACCTCTCTGTACTATCCTTACAACTTTCTGTAAATCTGTAATTTTTTCCAAATTTAAAAGTTGGGGGAAAAAAATCAAACTGCCAGAGTTCAAATTCAGGCTGCACCACTTCCTGTGTGAACTTAGGTTATTTAACCAGTCTGGGTATCAGTTTTGTCATCTGCAAAATAAGGATAACAGTATCTACCAAATTATGACAAGAAACAAAATAATACACCAAAAAGGAAATTATATACATACAATGTAGGTGAATCTCAAAAGCATTATTGCTAAGTGAAAGACAGGAGACACAAAAAGAGACATATCATTTACTTTTGTTCAAATAACACATTGGAAAACGCAAAAACCATAGGGAAAGAAATCAGATCACGGTTACCTGGAGCTGGGTGTGAGGAGAGGGAACTGAACTACATCTCTGAGTAATGCCTTTTGTAATCATGCAAGTATTCTATTCAAAAATAAAATTAAGCCTACAAGGATAGGGGGAAAAACTTAAATTTGGGGGAAAGGGCACCAAAAAAACCCTTACAGTGAATGCAAACAAACCAAACCAACCCAACTAACTGTATTTCAAATGACTATTATAATTAAACTGAAGCAGGGGAGGGAGCAGTGGAAAACCTAATCCAGACACTTTCACCATATTCTCTCAGGTGGTCTACAGAGTCGGTCTGTGGGGAAAAAGTTGTAAACAGATCTTGAACTGTTTTTAGGAGGTAAACCCAAATTGAGAAATATTAAAAAAAAAAAAAAAAAACAACTGGCTTATATTCTTTTAAAATGTTAACACAATCAAAGAAAAGTGAAAATTATGGTAAAGGAGATTAAAGAGACATGTCAACTAAACATAAAACAATCTTGGAACGGATCCTTTCTTAGAGAAAACAAAACAAACGCCTTAACAGACATCACTGGGACAGTTAACAAAAGTGGAATGTAATAACTGCAGATTAAAGTATTAGAAGACAACTAGAGATTTTTAAAAGGTATTGTAACAATGTTAAACTTCCTGAATTTGGTAACTACTGGAGTTATTTAAGACAATATCATTATTCTTAGAAAATACATACTGATATATTAACAGATAAAGAGTCATACATATGCAGTCTTTCAAAGAGGTCAGAAAAAATTAACACAATATTATATGTAGTAGTAAACAGAATATTTCAAAGGGGCTGGGGTTCACAACTGACTACAACAAGTTATAGTCTGGAGCAGCAACAAGAGAGTAATAGCTACTGTACTCCCTGGCCTTACGATATGTGGACATGACAGAAAAACAAAGCCTCTGACTGAGAAGGTTGTGACAGAACCGCAGTACTTCATGGGATATTCAGATGTCAACTAATACAAAAACAGAGAAAACACCCATAAGAAGTGAAGGATATCTGGCAGTCTGTTTATAACACAGAGTAAAGGCTTGGAGGGGAGGAAAAGAGTAGGGAATTGGGCTTGATTTCCAGAACAGTCAGGAGATTAGAGTCTGGGTGGTAAAAAATGACTTGAGGGTAGAAGAGGTAAAAAGGAATTCAAAGTAGGTGTAAATCAATAGTGGTATTCTCTGGGTGGTTATTCTAGCTCCAAGGTCTCTAAAGCTCTGCTCTGTGGTATGACAATTTCTAGCGGATCTTCTCGGGGAAGCCTTTTCAACTCTCCACTGCCAGAGAGTTAGACATTCTTATCCTTAATGCCCATATATATCATTTAACCCATATTCAATAAATGTTAGTTGAATAAATTAATGACTCACCATAACCTGAGACTAAATATGAGAAAATTAAATTGAAAATCAACTTCACAAAAGAAATGACATAGTAGAATTTCATTTCTGAAAAAAGTGTCTGAAGTTAAAATAAGGAGTTAAGATGAAAAGACTACAAAATAGAGAATTATTTCTAGTTGATTCTGGTAAAAGAAATATGCTTACTGTACAACAAGCTGCTGGCATACAGTTCCATTCTCCGTTATCAGTTCATTCAGTTTTAATTCAAGGTGAACTTTACCCTATAATGACAAAAAAAAAATTACAAACTGAGTAGTCTATTTTACTGACAAAATATTAAAGGTATATGCCTTTTAAAACAGTCATAATAATGAACTATCCACTGACCACTAGCACATGGCTTTGGCTACACTGTTTGTCAAATGCCTAATAACCAAAATCATAGATCAAAGTTCTGAAAGATACGAAACAAATGCTTATGTCAAACATGGTATTCAAATTTAAGAATTTTATGCCCAGTTCAAAAAATATTTATGTGTCTAATTATCACAGGCTAAAAAGAAAGATAATACCTAAATTTAAGGAAATTCTGAGATAAAACCAAATTATAAAATGTAGGATGCTTTTTCCAGGAAAGATGAACCAGCATTAAGGACAGAAGCAGTATCATTAAAAGACAGAGAAATCATACAATTCTAAAATAACTAAAGACTAAGTTTTATCCAATAAAACTCAGTTTGTCTCTACTTACTTTGATCAAACAATAAAGATTTATGGAATGTCTACTATGTTTCAGAAGGCACTGTGGGAGTGGGTAGGAATCCACAGATGTCAAAGATGTAAGTCACTGCTTACAAGCAGCGTACAATCTAGTTGGGAAGACAATAAACAAAAGATAACATATGGCCAAAAGTCTTGATGGAAAGATGAGACACTAAAAATAAAGGAGTACTTTCTTTAAGAGACATTAATAGATGAATTTAAAAAAATTAAGTAGTATAAGCTTAAAAGAATTCAAACTATCAACTTCTCAAGAAACAAAGGCTTAGGAACAATATAGTCCAGAGATTGATATTTCTACATTGCCACTGGTGATGAGCAATTCTGCACTAATCATGAGCAATTCTAAACTGGTTAAGAATCAGTACTGGATTACCTCCACCCAGCTGACAAGACAAATTCCCACATTGCCATGTGGAGATTTTGGGGAGTGACGTCTAGGGGCTGATGATGTGAGTGATTTCATTAGAGGTAGGAAAGTTCATAATCTGGTAGTCACATTTCTTCTTTAGAACAATCCCTTTCAGACATTCTTTAACAGAAACCTAACCTGGAACACCCTCACTATTTTAAGGGGACTTATACAAGAATGAATCTGAGGTCCACCAGCTATAAAGCTTAGGGTGAGATGAACAGTAAGTGATGAGCAATACATACTGATGGATCTTAAAACAAAAGTCTGCCTAAGAAAGCTAAAGTCTAAAGCAGCAAACACATCTGTGGTAGCAAAATTAATAGCAATTATGGGGAGCTGGCACTAAATTAAGGAAATCTTCCACTAAAAATGTAGGCACAAATAAATATTTATAAAATCATATATAATTTATAAACTAGATTTTTCATTATTCCTGCATTTAATATTTATAATCTCTACTATTCAACAGTGATCTTGAAGGTCCATGTTCTGTAATTTGTAATATTACTCAACTAGAATTTTGAAATCATATTTTCTGTTGTGTGCTATGTATGTATTACTTGGCTAGCAAGGGAGGCAAGCCAACTACAAAAATTTGCATCTCAAAGCAGTTTTACTATTTTAATATGTATACATTTTATGACAGAAATCTTATGCTAACACAGCTCTCTCTCAGGAAATGTCTAGGATCTATTCTAGTTTTAAGATAATAAAAACTACTAAAATAGAGTAGAAAAATAATCATTTTGTTTACAACTAAAATCATAGTACTATATCAAGTCCAAAGGATTTTAATGAGATTCTACCAAGAATCATTATTACTGAGTCAGAGCCTACCTAATATGTTCATTACTCCCACTGACCAGTAAATAAAACATTCCTTAGGTATTAATCAACAATAACATAATTATATATTAACCTGGGCAAGAAAAGTGTGAGGACAGAACAAGCAGACACAAAATACATACTGCTACGGTGGAATACTAGGTCAAAAGGCATTATGAGTTAAATTAAGAAAATTATAATTTCTAAACTGTAAAACACTAACTCATTATATACTTTAACATGGAAATGTGTATATGATACTTAGCAAAAGAATTAAGTCACAAAATAGGGTGCATACTATAATCTTAACATATATAAAATTGTAAGACCATCTACTGAAATGTTGATAGAAGTTACCTCTGGTTGGTGAAATTTCAGATTTTCTTTGCTTTTTTGCTCTAGATTTTAAGAGTTTATATTACTAATTTAATTTTCAAAGTTTTTACTACTACTTTGTTGCTCTTAGTAAAGAAAAATGAACAGTTTTAATTTATGTAAAACTGCTTTTCAGTTTTAGAAACTCAAATCTGTGAACATTTTGAAACATTTTTTAGTCTCTTTTTGCACAAAAGTTCAGTTTTACTTATATCTGTAATCATTTTATAGATTTGGATTGTAGCAAAACAAATTTGTGTGTGTGTGTGTGTGTGTGTGTGTGTGTGTGTTTTGTTTTTTGATGGAGCAGTTATGAGCCCAGTAAACTGACATTTTCTGGCCTCCCTTGAGACCACAGATAGCCATATGACATAGTTCTATCCAACAAGATAGAAACAGAAGTTGCTGGTAGGGAATCATATACCTTCTCTGGGGGAAAAATATCATTCAGACCCTCAAATTATCTGCAATATATTTTATATTTCAATCTCCAGCATTCCATAAAAAATTACAGAATATGCCAGAAGATCAAAAACCAAGAGGAAAAAAATGAGAAAAGCAGTGGATTTACAAGAGATGCAGATATTGGAACTGATAGAATATAAAATAGCTTTTTTTTTTTTTTTTTAAGACAGAGTCTTGCTCTGTCACCCACGCCACAGTACAGTGGCATGATTTCGTCTCACTGCAACCTCTGCCTCCTGGGTTCAAGCAATTCACCTGCCTCAGCCTCCCAAGTACCTGGGAATACAGGCGTATGCCACCACACCCAGCTAATTTTTGTATTTTTAGTAGAGACGGGGTTTCATCATGTTGGCCAGGCTCAAGTAATCTTCCCGCCTCAGCCTCTCAAAGTGCTGGGATTACAGGTGTGAGCCACTGCATCTGGCCTAAAATAGCTATTTTTTTTAAAAGATGGAAAACAATATGAAAAATCCAGCAGCTACCTAGAATCTATAAAATGAATGAAATAAAAAAGTTAAAACTAAGTAATAAACCAAAATGAAGATGTATTTAGTAGTAGAGCAGCCACAGCTGAAAAGAGGATTGGTGAAATGAGAGACAGGTCAGTAGAAAATATCCACTATGAATCACAGAGAGGGAAAAAGGATAGAAGACTTATGAGACATAGTGAAATGCCCTATTATCCATGTAACTGGAGTCACAGCAGAGAAGAGAAAAAAAGAACAGGACAGATTAAAAAGGAGATGAGATAATTGCCTGGAATTTTCCTGATAGAAGACAAGTCACAGATTCAAGAACTCCTAGGGACAAATAAGAAAAATAAAGAAAACCATACCTAGGCACTGGATAGTAAAACTGCTGAAAATAGAAAAAGAAAATCCTAAAAGTGACTACAGAAAACAGAGATAGTACCTACAAAGACGCAACATTAAGAATCCAACAAGGAAGCTGGGTGCAGTGGTTCATGCCTGTAATCCCAACACTTTGGGAAGCTGAGGTGGGAGGATCACCTGAGGTCAGGAGTCGGAGACCAGTCTGACCAACATGGAAAATCACCATCTCTACTAAAGATACAAAATTAGCTGGGCATGGTGGTGCATACCTGTTAATCCCAGCTACTTGGGAAGCTGAGGCAGGGGAATCACTTGAACCCAGGAGTGGGAGGTTGCACTCCAGCCTAGGCAACAAGAGCAAAACTCTGTCTCAAAAAAAAAAAAAATCCAACAAGGAACTATGTGTGATAATAAACACATAATGTGATTTGGTCTACAACTGCATTCTTATTATTCAATCTCTTAAAGGAAACTCAAAGACAGTATACTTTTCATGTATATCAGAAAATGTTGGAAGATCAGATACCTTGTACTGGATTATATACCTTTAACAAAAAATTAACCAAATTCTTGGAAGGAATTGCTATATATGACTTCCATAGCATTAATTATGTTAGCCTGATATATGCAATTATAACAAGAGATTATCTTGCATTAAGGAGCATTCTGAGGAACTTACATTACTCTGATATTGACATAGTTTGGCTGTGTCCCCACCAAGTGTCAACTTGAATTGTATCTCCCAGAATTCCCATATGTTGTGGGAGGAACCCAGAGGGAGGTAACTGAATCATAGGGGCCAGTCTTTTCTGTGCTAGTCTCGTAATAGTGAATAAGTCTCACAAGATCTGATGGGTTTATCAGAGGTTTCCACTTTTGCTTCTCTGTCATTTTCTCTTGCCGTCACCATGTAAGAAGTGCCTTTCACCTCCTGCCATGATTCTGAGGCCTCCGCAGCCATGTGGAACTCTAAGTCCAATTAAACCTCTTTTTCTTTCCAGTCTCAGGCATGTCTTTATCAGCAGCGTGAAAACAGGGTAATACAGATACTATCTGAAGATTTAGCATTTTATATGCTAACTTTATTTCAATTAATTTTACAAAAATTTCACATGAAAATGTCTGTGATTATTTCAGTTGTATATTACATATATTCTTGGTACCATATAGAAGATACCATTTAAATTTCTGCATATAGTTTGGGAAAATAAGATGAATGGAGGTGGATACAGTTTGAATGTTTGTCCCTCCAAATCTCAGGTTGAAATATGACCCCCAATGTTGGAGGTGGGGCCTCTAGTGGGAGGTATTAGATTATGGGGGCAGATCCCTCACGAATGGCTTAGTGCCATCCCCTTGGTGGTAAGTGAGTCTTGCTTAGTTCATGTGAGATCTAGTTGTTTAAGAGTCTGGGACCTCTGCCTTCTGTCTCTTGCTCCCTCTCTCATCATGTGATATGCCTGCTCCCCCTTCACCTTCCACCATGATTGTAAGCTTCCTGAAGTGCTCACCAGAAGCTGATGGCAGCACCATACTTCCTGTATAGCCTGCAGAAGAACCTAAGTCAAAATAAAGCTCTTTCCTTTATAAATTACTCAGCTTTAGAGATTCCTTTATAGTAACACAAAAATAGACAAATACAGAGGTATTTGAGCAAAATACAATAAATGCACTTAAAATCCTCTCAAGTCTAAACTTTATTTTGTTTTTATCACAAAATACTAAATTTTAACAACAATTTTCACATAAAAGAACTTAATATGTTTCAACTGGTAAAAAAATGTTTTACAGGCATACCTTGGAAATACTGTCTAAGGGTCCAGACCACTTCAATAAAGCAAATATCTAAACACAAGGTGACAAAATTTTTTTGGTTTTCTAGTGCATATGTTACATTTACACTATATTGCAGTCTACTAAGAGTACAATATGTCTTAAATACCAACATACATATCTTATTTTTAAAATACGTTATTGCTAAAAAATGCTGTCACAGAGACATGAAGTGAGCATATGATGTTGGAAAAATAAGGCAGACAGATTGACTTGAACCCATGGTTGTCACAAATCTGCAATTTGTCAAAAATGCAGTATCTGTGGAGCACAACAGAGTGAAGTACAATCAAAGAAGAACATGAGGTGAAAAGTATCCCTAATGTACATTTCTAATATTCTAATGTACATATCAGTACATAGAAATTATCTTTATAAATAATATTGGAAACAATTGCCCAACAGATGAAAAAGTAAAATACAAGTTTTATTTAGTATCTCTTATATTAATGGCAGTTCTTTATGAAGGTGTTGTTTTCTCCTTAAAGAAGTATTTAATATAATCTAGAATGGTTCATTCCTTTGTTAATTCACATATAAAAATTTAAAATGAAGTTTAAAAAAGCAACCTGCAAAAATGAATTATGTTTTTATATTTAATATGTCTTAAATAGGGCATGTTTTTAAAAACCTGGCATATATATTATTAGCTATAATCATTACATTTCTTTTTAAATGTCTTTTTAAACAGGTAAGGCAGAGGCTTTTTAAAAAAAAAATCTATAAAACAATTAATAATTTACGGCATGATCCAGAAATTCAAGATGTGCTTGTTGGTAAAGACCTATTAAGTAACTGCATCATATAGGATATGGTTGATAGCACATCTGGATTTACTGCTTGGACAAGTTGTGTGAGACAAACTCCTTAATTAATGAGAGCAGCAAATTCTCCACATGAGAGATTTGGTTTAATCACTCTATTTTTTTGCTATAGAGATGGGGTCTCACTATGCTGCCCAAGCTGGTCTTGAACTTCTAGGCTCAAGCAATCCGTCTGCCTCAGCCTCCCAAAGTGCTGGGACTCCAGGCGGGAGCCACAGCACATGGCCTGTTTTAATCAACCGTATGTAACGTATGCTTTTTATCATAGTACCTAAGAAATAAAGAAAGGATAAGTACTTAAATTTTTCTGGTGCATTCCAGGACCCAATAACTAATAGCACGGCTACAGTTCACTGAAGTCAAAATAGGATTTATAGAAAGCACCAGCACAACCCATATTAACTTCACATATGCGGCAGAGAATATCGAGAAAGAATACCAAATGAAGTAGATAATAACTAGGACCATAAACTAAGGAAGGGAATGCTTCAAAATGAAGGGAGTGGTCACCAGTATCAAAAGCTGCTCAAAGATCAAGTAAGATGAGGACTGAAAAATGTCCACTAGACTTATTCATACAACGTCATTGGTAAAAAGAACCATTTTTGTTCTCCCTCTGACACACTGCAGAGTCTGAAAGCAGATTACAATTGGTTGAGAAAAAAAAAAATGGTTCAGCACAGACGGAAAAATTACAAAAGGAAGAATCAGGCCAAAACCTAAATTTAAAAAAAAAAGGTAGAAAAATACACTCATGAAATATTAATATTTTGAACTAGACAATTCAAAGACGTTATAGTTCCTAACAATTTTTCAACTGTTTTGGCATAAAGCCAATCTTAATACTATTAGGGTCTTTTCACTTGAAAGCTAAATTACATTTCTGCATGTTGTTTCCCTAGAACTTCACAACCAAGGGAACCCTTTATGCTGACTTTATCATTTCACAGATAAGATCCTCAGGTAACAATAGGCTAGCAATTATTTGGGGCACAAATGCTAATTAGTGATAGAACTAGGAAACAAGCATCTCTCCCACTGAGGTAGCAATGCAATCATTTCCTCTACCCAAACCCCTTTCCTCTGGGAACATGCCTACCCAATGCCCCAAAATGGACTGACTTACAGCAATGTTCCCTCCAACCATATCAAATTAGATTGCAGTGGATATCTGACCGAAGTCTAGCCAAATTTTCTCTCTACATTGTGGCAGAAAACTGAGTGAGATGTTAGACGTTAGAAAGGTGTATGGTAACATAGACTCAAAAACTGGTGTGGCCTCTTTTAGATCTCAACAAGAAAGGGAGTACATTTACAGAGAGAAGCAGGGGAAGAGACATGTCTTATTAGACATACAAAAAGAATACAATGGAATCTCAAAATTAAATGGTATTTTTTCTTTCCTTTATAGTTTGCAAAGTGAATAGTTATTAAAATGAGAGGAAAAGACTGAAATAAAACATTATTCACTTCATGAAAGGGAGAAAAAAACCGTATTTAAACAGTGAGCACTTATACTCAATGAGCACAGTGAACATATCTATGAATAGGAAGAATTGATCGGTGGATCTCAGTTTCCATGTGCCACCTGCAGTACTGAGTGTGGGGGTTTAAAGTTTAAAGATACAGTATACAGTTTTCATTTACCATGGTCCAGAATGAAAGCCAATTATTTTATGTAATTGTCAACCAAAAACAAACAAATCACCCAATGCCTTAAGGTATTTTATAAGAAACTAAATTATTTTTAAAAATAAGTGAAACTTATGCAAATTTTTAAAACTTTTTATTTTATATACTCATTTTACAGATGAACCTATGTAAATTTTAATGTCTGTTGTTCTAAGAATCTAACCTCCGCTTAAGGTGCAGCTCCTCTGCAAATGCCTCACAACTTTCTACCTCACACTGGCCACGTAAAGTTCCCATAATGACATTCCAAGAAACTCTTAGGAGCTTTCTAATGCCCTCTCCATTTCCGTTGAGCAAATCTGAGCAGACTTCTGTTCCTTACACTCAGATGTTACTTAAGTGATGCTCCTAATCTATTGATATTTTTTTTATGACTTATAGTACAGAATAGTGAAGACAGTAAAGGCACTGTGGTTAGGAGTATTAGAATCGGACAGATCTCTTTTGGAATCAAGTTTCTACTACTTAGTAGTTCTGTAACTTTGGAGAACACATTTAACCTCTGTGAATTTCATTTGCCATATTTGTAAAATGGAGGTAATACTATTTACCTCATAATCTATTCTGAAAATTAAATGACATTAAGTACTTAGTACTGTGCTTAGAATATACTGGTATAATTACTAATAGTAATTATCAGACTAAGTTCCTGTTGAACTCAATCTGTTTAATAGCTTTCACTTATTTCCCATTGCTCTTATGTTTCCTATTTTTGTAAAATTTTATAAAGTTTATGGAAGTGAACAAATTTATTAACAAAGTAAGATTGTATGAACCATGGAATGATTTTCTATCTTTTCTAGACTCACAAAGTTAATTTAGTATTCCCATATCAGTACTGGGGCCAGACGACAACATTTTCAATGGTACCATATTAACCCGAAAGTCTTATATGTGTCTCTCACCCCCTAAGGTACTTTTCCTTTTAAAATCTATTTTAAATAGTGGGTAAATCTTATTGTCATTTAAGACAAAAGAGTTGTAAAGTTTAATAATTCATACTCATGAAAATAACTTGCACAGATTTTAAGGTAACTATATTACATCTAATAGGTAACTGCTGCTTCCACTAATTTTCATTTCATAGATGAGATATATATATCTCAAATGTTTGTGTGTGTGTATATATATATATATACACACATGAACATATACATATATGTATTATCTATAAATAAGCATACACATGCATATGTAACGCATGTATATACACATACATACATATATACACATACACCATCAAATAAAGGTTTGTGTCTCTGTACTAATCTCTAGTACCATCTCCCAAAACTCTATGAAGAGTATTCTATATAGATTTCTACCTTTTGAGAGCTGGAACTCTTAAATCATTTAGCAAATGTATATAAAACTCGTAACATTTATGAGTTTTATGAAATTTAATGATTCATAAAATTTCAGTTTATACTAAATTTTCAAAGCCTTTTCCTATATTGCCTTTTGTGAAAACTATTAGAAGAAAAACTGCTACTTTAAAACTTTCATATCTGCCTTTTGGTAATGAAATATTACCAGACTGACTGCTGGTAATATTTTACATTCGTATAGCATTAACAGCTTTTAAACTATTCTTATAGATGTTTCACTTAATTCTCATAACCACATGAATTAAATATGGCAACTTTTATTCTCACTTCATAGAAATGAAATTCAATGTCATTTAAGTAACTACATATGAAAACTAGGACCTAAGTTTTCTGCCTTTTAATTGAAACCCTTTCCACTTCTTCACATTGCCTCTAACATGGATCATTTACAATACTGTACAATTGGGATCTGAGTCATAGTTATGGTCATATGGAAAGACAAGAACATTAAAACATGGCAAAGTAGGCTAAACAGGAAAAGTATGTTATATTTTGTAGTTAAGAAGGGGTTTTAGTGCATAAATAATTTTTTGAGAATTTAATAATCAAAGAGAATGTCTGAGAGATTATGATGAAATGGAGACACAGGCACTTAGTTGCAAATTATCTGTGGTGTGGGTGTAGCACTTTTTTCTTGTCTTAAACTTCTCTTTGAGTCACAGTGGCAAATTATAACTTCTTTTAGAGAGGAAGAATCCTGCTGCAATTATGCCCTCGGGAAATGGTTTCACAATCCTTACCATATTTTATAAATAAATAAAGTTACAACAGAAAGATTCCCTTTAGATAGAAATAATAATTTCTAAGACAGAGCAACTCAGATTTTCTAAAAACAAATAGAAACTTCAGCTACATGGCTAAACACACATCTTTATTTGCATACAGGATCTGAAAAAGGTCTCTTATTTTGGTAAAAAGAAAAAAGAGATTAAACAGTAATGATACCCTTTCAAATAAAAAGCGAGGTGAACAACAGGAAGGGTGGGTGTGGGAGTGAAGGCTGTGCACAGTGGGCTCAGGCAGGGTTTAAATGAATAACATTTCCCCAACTTCAGTTTACAAGAGATAAAACAGAGAATCCTGATCAGGCCAGATGAAATCAGACTTCCAGGGATTCTTCCCAAAATCAGGGTTGATAAAACACATCTTTTCCCCTAAAGCTTTTCCCCTTAAAGAAAAAAAATAATTTGCTATTATGACTCAAACAGAAGAACTAAGGTAAGAAAGAAATGCCCTAATCTCCCCAAATCTACACACATACATACGCATGAACATTATTCTTGAAACAATGTGACAAAGCCATTACCTTCCTGTTCTATATTACCCAAAGGTCTATAATATTTGATGTCGGAATTTAAAATAAGGTATAATATGCTCTATTTTCATGAACTAGTTTAATTAGTTCATTTTTCACTCATTTCCTGTGACAATCTCTTGTATTATATAAGCCTTAATATTTACCTGAACCTCTGAATTGGAGTCAACAGGCTGTAATGAAAACCAGGTTTCTTTGCCACTGTGATTACACAGGTCTTCTTTTTTGATGGCTACTTTTCCTAAAGAAAATAAGTAAAACAATATAAGAAAACATGCTTTGTATAATCCTAAGACTCATTAGCACTGTTTTATATAATACTTTATAGAAAATATTTTAAAATAATTTGTACCTATGGACATAAAAATCCATTTTTATAAAGCCTTTTTCTATATTCTAAAGAATGAAAAAATGTCTTATTTCTCCTTGTCCCTTGGCAGACCTCTGTCTGGGTCATTTTGAATCAGGGGATTAGATAGGACCTCAATTGTATTTACATGCAACTGCATGTTTTAGTGCTTATTCAGATTCACATTTTTACCCAGAGTACACTCATTATAAAAAACAAGGTACAATGGTAGTGCAAACTAATCTTCCCTATTTTTTGACACTATGAACAAATAATATGTTCTAGAGCAGATGTATATGCATTTAGTAAGAGTTTATAAATTCGATTCAGAGAAAAGGAAGAACAATATCCTACATCATTAACAAAAGTGAAAACTGACTTGAAAATTATGGGAGTTTATAACAATTTTATTAAAAATGTACTTTTATCAAAACATTGCAAACACTGATTATGTTGCTCCAACGAATACAAAAATTAAGGCAGTTCTTTAAAGTTTAAACCCCCTCAGGGGAAGATACAGTACAATGAACAAAGTAGTATGAGAGGAAGAAACAGAAATGTTCTTATAATAAAGTATATGCCATCTTGGTAGAAAGCATTTCCTTCCTCAATTCAAGTTTTAAGAAGTGGACACAGTTTTGCATAACACTGACGATTTATTCCAGAGTTCTACATAAAAGTTTCAACAAATTCTTTGTCAAGCAAGAATTTTCATTTTATGTGCCCTAATTCTACTCTATTTCCTTGTACTTATGACATACCTTGGTCTTTTAGTTCAACATTTTAAAACTGTAAGAACATTGTACAGAAATTTTTCTGTCAAGATATGTTAACTTTTGTATATCAAGAAAAGGGAAAGAACAGGAAAACAAACAAAAACAATGCTTAAAATTTTATTCTGGAATTAGATAGTGGTGATGGTTACACAACTCTGTGAATATATTAAGGCCCCCACCACACCATACACTTTTTGTAATTTAAAAAATATTCTCATTCACCCAAGCCATCAGTGCTGGGAAAAAGAAAAAAAGATATATTTTGAAATAATTTCAAACAAAGTTGCAAGAACTACACACCAAAAACCTCCATATTCTCTACTCAGATTCCCCTACTATTAACTTTTATCATGTTTCTCTTCCTCTAATGTATATAATGATTCTTTTTCTGAATCACTGAAAAACAAGGTGCAAATATGATGTATACTTTGAAAGAGTTAATTTGATGGTATATGAATCACACCTCAATAAAACTGTTATTTTTAGAATGTAACCACATTACACTTTTTGATAAGCTTCTCTCATTCATGTCTTGGAATTCAAACTATGAAGACAACCGATACATCTAATTTTAAAGAAAACACTACAGTACACAGCTATATTTTATTATAGAGTGGTAAGTTCTTAAAAAAAAATCAAAGGAGGCCTATTGAAAATTCATCTTTGTATGTCTATTAATACATGAAGTTAAAACACATAAAATAAAATAAATTGGTCCTGATAACAAATATATATCTTCCCAACTTTCTTTCGAATACTTTGGATAAAATGTTAAGTTGAAGATCAAAATCTTTATATGAATATATAGCATTTATAGTTCACTCAAATCATGTAGAAAATGGCACTAGGGAAATAATGTATTTCAGTTCTTTTTTGGTTAAATTTAAGATAAAAATGGTGGCAAAACAGAAATTCTTATAGTACTAAATAAAGCCAAATATAAAATTCAGGCACTAACTGGAATACTCAAATATTCCTTAAACTACAGGAAAAGTTTAGGATAAGAGACAAATCATACAAATCTCTGGAATGTCTTATCTGTATCAAATTCCTGGGAAATCCATAAAATACTAGTTATGGCTTAGGATATAAAGTTATGACAAAGTATTCAATATTGTATGCCACAAATGATTGTCGTAATTCTGTCAGCTAGTCCTGATTACCACTGATTCCACACCAGATGTAAATAAAATGTTAAGGCAATGCATAACGTTTGATACTCAAATATATATATATGTACATGCAGAAATAAATCTATACATCCTATAGCTGAAGCTCTTTCCTTTTGAGAACCATTCCCCTCCCTTTAAGAATATTTGTAACTGTGTATCTTTTATGTCCTCTCCCCAGAAAAAGGCACAGATAATATCTGGCACATAATTTTAAGAGCGTTTACTTACCATCCAGAAATGAATCAGTAGACTTCTGGTGAAATTTCTACTTTACAATTTCCATAATTTTTAGTTTTGTACACAATTTATGAACATGTATATAGATGTACATATGTACACACATATAATACATACATCACTAAAACAAGCCCCAAACTAAAAAACAGGGTTTTTTACAAAGTTTAGGAATATATTGGTTTGACAAATTCATTCCCTCATTCAACAATCACAATGGCACTGTGTTGTAAATGCTGATTTTATTTCCAGACTTCCCGTTTATCTAAACTCTATTTAAGTAACAATGCTCCTAAAAACTAGAGTAGAAATCTACCTGTCCTACTTATGACTCACTAATCTAAGATCACTGGAAATACATCCCCACTGTCACAGGTGCCTTTCCAAAAGAGAATTTTCTCTTAGTCTCACAAGTAATGTATTCTAGAAGAGAGCCTCTTCCTCCTATTCCACGTTGTGAGTATCATGACATTCACTGTCACTGAAGAGTTGAATGTTTCTTGTCCTATGAGAGGGAAACCCTTCTCTGACTAGCTGCATAAATAAGCCATTTGAGAGTTGAGAATAATGTGCAATTTTATTGTCAGCTCTTATTAAGTTCCTTTTTAAGATGTCAGTTTCTGATATATAAAGATCTAGTTGCATGAGTTTATCTGGCCTGAAGAAGCAGGGAAGAAAGAGTACATGATCCCACAAAGTTAGAGAAACTGATATATAAGAAGGGCACAGGAAAATAAGAAAAATATTTGAAGTCATTAGGTAGCAGGCAAAGAATGAAGGAGAAAAAAAGGTGGAAGGATAAATGAGAAGGAAGTATAGGAGAGGGAGACAAAAGGGATGGGGAAGGAAGAAACAAGTTTCTGAAATATGAACAGAATAAAAAAAAAGCCTCATGATTCTGTTTTGTTGTTTTATCACTGAGCAGACATTAACAGTAAAAGGTCGGCAGCCCGATACAGTGGAAACAGCACTGAACTGAAAGAAAAGTCAGCATTTACAGAATGTCTACCAGGTAGGAGACATTCTTACATATTTTCTTGTCTAATTTTCATAACAATCTTGGAGTCAGAGGGTATAATCTCCATCTTACAGATGAGGAAAGGAGAACAATATTTTTAAACTTGCCTCTAACAGGTGCAGAAGCCAGATTTTGAAACCAAGGTATGCCTATTTGTGTTCCTTCCAACACAAACACTAATTACATAATCTAGTGTCAAATTCTCTAATAAATTACTTATTAGAAACTCTACATCTAATGTGCCTCCTCTGAATTAGAATGACTTTAGCTTAATGATCTTAAAAACCTTTTTTGTGCCTCTAATGTTTCCAAAGATTGTTTTAGTTTAGTGTTTACTATTTTCTTTTGTTTATTTTTAAATTTTATTTTTTTTCTTTTTCCCAGACAGGGTCTTGCTCTGTTTCCCAGGATGGAGTGCAGTGGCATGATTATAACTCACTGCAGCCTCGACCTCCTGGGCTCAGGTGATTCTCCCACTTCAGCCTCTCAAGTAGCTGGAACTAATTTTTATAGTTGGTCCCAGCTGGCTAATTTTTATAGTTTTTGTAGAGATGGGTTTTCACCATGTTGCCCAGGCTGGTCTTCAACTTCTGAGCTTAAGCAGTCTACCTGCCTTGGCCCTCCAAGGTGCTGGGATTATAGACATGAGCCACTGTGCCAAGCTGGTGATTACTATTTTAAACAAAGTTAATTCATAATTTCACTAGCTATGAAATTACTAATGTCAAAAAAAAAAAAATCAAACACAGCTGGGTGCAGTGGTGCATGCCTGCTGTTCCAGGTACTTGGGAGGCTGAGGCAGGAGGACTGCTTGATCCCAGGAGTTCAAGTCCAGCCTGGGCAACACAGTGAGATTCCTGTCTCTTAAAAAAAAAAAAGAAATGAAACAAACTTCCCAACAAATCATTTAAAATCAGTACTTAATTTCCTCACTGTCTTGACAAACTCACAGAAAGAGCTTAAAACCAAACATATACTCACCAGATGCTGTATTAGTTCCTTAAAACCAGACAAAGAAGGGAAATAAAAAAGGAAATGAAGGAACTGTGGGCACAGAAACCACCTTTGTTGATCTTTAAGTAAAAAAAGCATTTTAAGCTTTCTAATATCATTTTTCAGCAGCATTTTCTTGCTATCGGTAAATACCGTGTTACCCATGGGACCCACTTTCAGATACATTATTAGAAATTTCAGTCTGATACAGTTAACCAATTGGCAAAATCCTGATGGTCCTGTTCCTACTTGAGCACAAGCAGAAATGGCTAAAAGAGGAGATTAAAAAGTGACAAGTGTTACTGCCTATGTAAAAATGAAACAGGACCAGAAGACTGAACAAATTCTGGCAGACAGTCAACAGCAGTAATTTAGAGACAATAGCAGCACTTTGAAGCCTTAGTGTATGAGGTTTCAATAGATACATTTTGGTCTTTGTAGTAGACGGTATATTAATAGCCTCCATACTTTCCAGTATCTACACCATTGTGAGATTCCCTATAGCACTGACTCTGGGATTAGATATGTGACTTGCTTTTACGAATGGGACATCAGCAAATGTGACACACATGTGCATTAGGGCTTGCCTTCTTAGAACCAACCATGAGACCATGTGGTGAGGAAGGTCCAGCTAACAGCACCAACCAGACATATGAATCAGACCAGCCAGCCTCAATCTCCCAAATAACTGCACATCAG